AAAAAAAAAAAAAAAAAAAAAAAAAAAAAAAAAAAAAAAAAAAAAAAATAGCATAGGTCAGATTCCAAGCCCAGAGCGCAAAAGCTAATCGAGCATTCTTGACCGCTCAGCTATCGAAGACAAACATTCTAACTGAGTCATTAGCCATACATGAAGTGTTTAACCAGGTATGAGAGCTTTAATTAAAATTGAAAATTTTTATTCAAATTTTGTTGTTTTAATTATTTTCTAATGGAAGATTATTGTTTTAGTGTGTATTGCTCGGAATTCTGCTTTGGCCTTCTATACTTAAAGAGGAGATATTTTATATTCTCTGGTAATGTATAAGTTCTTTTTTATCAGAGCTTAGGTTACATATATCTGCTCTGTTCCCCCACGACCGCCACTCGTGGGAACGACTATACCTATATATACGGAAGGGGGCCAACCAATCAGAGGCGTGTAAGAGATAGAAAGGTTGTACTGCTATTTGTCTTTTGTCTTTCTCATCTCGTCTCGCGGTCGGAGCATACAATGCTTCCTCCATGTATATATTCTCTAAGGACCTAGCCGACCGAGCCACTGCACGCTCATATATATAGATGATGGTGCTCGCCTGCTCGCATATATATACACGTATATATAGATATATACTCACAGCAATGATACCAACTAACCGAATAATTTTCGAATTGGTACCAGTGTTCGCTGGAGCCCCCTTAAGAAATCGTTCAGAGTAGGACTCGACCAATACCATAATTATGCCAGACAAAGACAGATGCCCCGTTACGTAGCGAATTCTGCTGTCGCATATCACGCCCCCTTTTCTCCTCTATTCTTATACCTTTATGTGTCTAACACGTGGTTGATTTTCGGATTAGAAAAAAATGGCGGAACCAGGCTGATGCAATGTTTTGTCGCGAGTATGTGTGGATGACACTCGTGGGGCAGCGACGGCTTCTCCGACGGGGAAGCAGCAGCTGCCTTGAAGGAAATGCCAAGGGTGCGGACGAGTAGCGTTGATCGCGAGAGCAGCAACGAATGACGAGTAAGAATGTCTACGCACGCTCACACTGGCACTATAGTATACTGCCACTGGAGGCTGTTGCTGAGCCCCTTTAAACGCGCGCACTAGCTTACCTCGCGGTGGCTCCTTGTTCATGAAGATCATGTCAGGATCACCCATCTGGGATTATGTGCGAAGCTATCCAAAGCTGAGGAGGCTGGAGGTTGATTACAGGGCGTGAAATGATAACTCACCTATAGGGTTATAAAAGTAAGAACTTTATTCGAGTTCCTTATACAAGTAGCGTGTACTGCTGAATCGGCGCGCGTGTGTCTCGTATGGTTGACTGTGTGAGACTGTCGAGTACCTGCTAATGCGCCACACTTAGGTGTCTAATTAAGAAAAACCGTAGTAGTTGGAGTGACCGGTGCTGGCAGAGATTAGAAGAGAGATTGCTGCAGCGTTGGGTTAGGTGGATTCAATATCGGAACTTTTTCCCTAGGTCGTACATATATAGAGATCGAAGAGGTCGTCTATAAGAGAGAAAAAGGTGTTTCGTCCCGAGAGCACGCCAGGACTCATCAGTAAGGCTGATGACGTGCTCCCTGCCTTAGACACAGAAGAAGTATGGGCTTAGACTATCTCGATCGCGCTTATATAGTAATCGTGCGGGAATTTCGCTGCTTGACGGGAGCGAACCATGAGGGGCTTAGCCACCTGGCGAGTGGAGCCTGAAGCGCGAGAGATGTGAGACGCCACACATATAGCTATACGATCTAGGGAGAATGTTCCGTCGAGCAGACAGTACAGCAGTGAAGGTGCATTGCCAAAGACGCGCGAAAATTAAAAATTGTAACAAAAGTGCCTATCACCCAATGACCCGGGGCGCTAACTGGCCACTCTGTGAAATAATAAAATATTAATTAACAGCACAAGCGCCTATTACCCAATGACCCGGGGCGCTAACTGGCTACACTATTATATGATGAAATATTAATTATTAACACAAGCGCCTATCACCCGATGACCTGGGGCGCTCAGTGGTCGCTTTATGAAACGATATATATTATTGATTAATAACACAAGCGCCTGTCACCCAATCACCCAGGGTGCTTACTTGTCACTGTATAAATTAATAAAAGGTTAATTAATAACCGAAGGGCCTATCACCAAGTGACCCGGGGCGCTTACTGGTCGCTTTATGAAACGATATATATTATTAATTTATAGCACAAGCACCTGTCACCCGATGACCCAGGGCACTTGCTGGCCTCTCTATTAAATAGTAAAATATTAATTAACAGCACAAGCACCTATCACCTGATGACCGTTGTGCTATCAATTAGTTACTTATATCGTTTAAGAAAGCGACCAGTAAGCGCCCCACACAGTAAAAAATTTTTTAGTAAAATTACCACTCTTCTATAGTAACTGTACCTCGTCTGACGAAGTAAATTTACAAGCGGCTAGTATTAATGCTAATTTTTAAGTAAGTTCACTACGATGGTAGTAATTTTGCTACGTCTAGAGTTGGAAATAATCCATCCAATGCCTAGCGTAGTTATTTTACGACGCCGTGTAGTATAATACACAACTATTGCATTGGGTAAAATACTATCTTGTAGTTATATATTACTTGTAGAATTGTAAAAACACTATCAGCGTAGTAAAGTGAAATTCGTTGATTTCTATTGAAATTTCATTTTTGCATAATCTGCAGGCGCTGGAATAATCGAAAAAATGTCGTCGTGCTGTTTGTGTGTTGAAGCTCTGGTTTTCGTGTCAGTTCCAAATTGGTCAACTAAATTGTTGTTCCTAATGTTTAATTAAGTTATAGTTTCATGCAGCAAATAAATACAGTAAGATTGCAATGTTATTACTAGTGCACCATATGCATAAATCTGTTCCACATAACCTTGTCGTCAGCATTGAATTATAAAATAAAAAATTAATATAAACACTGTGCAAGTATTTTCAGCACTAAATAAAAGTTTATACGTTGTAAAAGACATTATTTCATTTTTAAATGAGCCCCCTGTTTAAATCACTATAGCACTAAAAATGTAACTCGTTTCAACCATTCCTAGTGTGTTCGTAGTTTTTACTACGAACGTAGTGTATTCACTGAAAAAATGAACATGTACGCCACCTGGCTGGAAAGTTACAAAACTGATAGTATTTTCTCTAATGCTGTCGTAAATATACTATAGACAAGTTTTCTTCTTAATTATTACTGTTCACGTAGTAATTTTTCTATTGTAAAAGTATTGTAGCTATTTTCATAGTTAATATACTACGTCTAGCATTGGTCGGATTTTTTCCAATGCGTAGCGTAGTAATTTTTCTACAAAATTTTTTACTGGGCAGGTCATCGGGTGATAGGCGCTTGTGTTAATATTTAATACTTTAATATTTAATAGAGAGGCCAGTTAGCGCCTCGAGTCATTGGGTGATAGGCTTTTGTGTTAATAATTAATACTTTCATATTTAACAGAGAGGCCAGTTAGCGCCCCGAGTCATTGGGTGATAGGCACTTGTGTTATTAATATTACAATTTTTAATTTCCGCGTGTCTTTGGCAATGCCTCTTCACTGCTGTGTTGTCTGCTCGACGGCACATTCTCTGGGAAGAAGTTCCGATATTGATTCCGCCTAACCCAACGCTGCACAGAAGTGGGCTTCTATAAGCGTCTATATTCGTTGCTTCTATGGATGCACACTCAATTAGTAATTTTTGGTCTGACTTGATTTTAAACTTGAAATGTTTTCAAATGTACACATTTTACCATTATTATTAATTAATACCATCGTGCAGAGTCAAGTTTTTTATTATTCTGAAAGTAGAATGGAAACAAAAAAGTGTACGAGTCGACAATCTCATTTCGCAAAAAAAAGGTTTGGTTGTTTTGTTTCTGTCTGAGATTCCAAAATGACTTAAAATAAAATCTTATTATTTATAGATATATTTTATATGATGTGAATCCACTAGAAGGATTCAACTTGCGGAGAGATGTCTATGTAAGAATTGCAACATTTTTGAAACGGTTAAATGCAGAAGATAAACAATACCAATGGATATTAGTGTTACCTCCATGGGGTTAGTGGCTTAAAAATGATATTACAGAACATTTGAATGTGCACTACTCGTGAATTTTATTCTCTTAACAGGCCCTTTGTACCATTGGCAGAGCAATCATATTGGATCACAAATCCAATTAAAATGGGGAATGTTTTTTGATATTGAAAGCTTAAGAAAATATATTCCTGTTATGGAAATGCATGAGTTCATTAGTGGTAAGCCAACATCTTTGATGCACTACATTTTCTGATACAATTTAAAGGTAGGAATAATTAAAGGCTTATTGCAACGGTTGCAGAGCTTTGTAAACTTCGCCAGCAACTTGTCAATTTCGATTTCAAAAAATACCCAAAACTGTGAAATCGTTAGCAACGTGAGCGACCGCTGTGTAAAATATAGTTAGATTGATCAGTTCTGCTACAAAAATTCATGCCTTTGCACGAGAGATAACAAGAGTATCTTCTTTACCCGTTGCAGCGTGTCTGTAGGATCGTAATTAGTATTAATCATTTGCAATTTACTTGCCGATTCTGCTAATTAATGGCGAATATGAGATTTAATTTCTTAACGGTAGTTGATAGTCCATGGCCCAAAGGATTTTTCGATCTTACGTTTCCCAGTAAGAAAAGAATTAGTCATTTTCCTTCAGAATTTCCCCAGGAATACGAAAAAAATAGTTTTGTCGAAACAAACGTTTGCTTGGTTTATTTATTTAAAAATTTATGTAAAAATGACAACTTTTTACGTAGTGTCTATTCGCACCAAAACGTACCGTATATCCACGTAATTACGTGGATATAGTGGATACGCATGCGCAGTGGGTAACTCTACTGTCCAATACTTATAGGGTCCAAGTTTATTTTTTCTTCCGAGCGAGCGAAGCGAGTTACAGTTTTTTGCTTGTATCTCCGCTTCTGTTGCTCTTAGAGAAATTTTTTAAGCACCAGTCTCTTTGTCATCAAATTTCCTATAAAGCAGACATTGTTGCAAATCTATTATCGATTGTCAGTGACATGATAATAGAAAAAGTAAGAAAAAAAATTTTTTTTACGAAGAACTATAGATCGACGTAAAAAAAAATTATTTTGGTAATTTGAACATAACCAAGAAAAAGTATAGATATTAGGTTGCATAACTAATAGCTATTTGTAAAATTGCAAAATAATTGTTGGTTTTTTTTATTAATTAATTTTATAAAGTGATATTACAAACTTCACGGTCGGTTTAATGACATTTCGCTTCGATAAGAACATTGTATTTAAAATGTTAGTAATGATAGCAAATCAGAAAAATTGATTTTTGTGAATTTTTACGTTTTGCCAGCAAAACTTGTATTTTGCAACTTAAACAATTGCAAATATCTTAGACAATTTTGCATAATTTCTTTTTTAACAAACATCACTGGATTTGTCATTAAAAAACACACATTGACAGATAAAAGGAATGCTCTAGCTCATACTGCAGCTGAGATACAAGAAATTCGTGTTTTTTTGCAATAAGGACTGATAATCGAATTTTTTGTTACACAAAAATTTGTGGGTTATCTTTATGTATTTTTGCATCACACTGCTAAAGCACTTTCTAAATTTCTTTCAAACAGAAGCTGAAAAAAAAATCAAGAAAATCGCATTAATTGTAATAGCCGGGGCAGCTTAGCGCTCCCATCTGTACCCCTCTTTTTGCGACTAGGTGGCTGACCCGCCGTGTTGGCTTCAAGATGCCGAAAAGTGGTCCCCCCACTACTCTCCCGTCTAAGAAGAGTGGTAGGGGGACTGCTCTTTGGTCGTGGCTGCGAGACAGCCTTGGAGAATATATACATGGAGGAAGCATTGTATGCTCCGACCACGAGACGAGATGAGAGAGACACAAGACCAATAGCAGTACAACCTTTCTCTCTCTTACACGCCTCTGATTGGTTGGCCCCCTTCCGTATATATAGGTATAGTCGTGTCCACGAGTGGCGGTCTTGGGGGAATAGAGCAGATATATGTAACCTAAGCTCTGATGAAAAAGAACTTATACATTACCAGAGAATATAGAATATATCCTCTTTAAGCATAGAAGGCTAAAGCGGAATTTCGAGCAATACACACTAAAACAATGATCTTCCATTAGAAAATAATTAAAACAACAAAATTTTAATAAAAATTTCCAATATTAATTGAAGCTCTCATACCTGGTCAAACACTTCGTGTATGGCTAATGACTCAGTTAAAATGTTTGTTTTCGATAGCTGAGTGGTCAAGAATGCTCGATTAGCTTTTGCGCTCTGGGCTTGGAATGGGGGGACCACTTTTCGGCATCTTGAAGCCAACACTGCGGGTCAGCCACCTAGTCGCAAAAAGAGGGGTACAGATGGGAGCGCTAAGCTGCCCCGGCTGTTACAATTAATGCAACTTTCTTGATTTTTTTTCAGCTTCTGTTTGAAAGAAATTTAGAAAGTGCTTTAGCAGTGTGATGCAAAAATACATAAAGATAACCCACAAATTTTTGTGTAACAAAAAATTCGATTATCAGTCCTTATTGCAAAAAAACACGAATTTCTTGTATCTCAGCTGCAGTATGAGCTAGAGCATTCCTTTTATCTGTCAATGTGTGTTTTTTAATGACAAATCCAGTGATGTTTGTTAAAAAAGAAATTATGCAAAATTGTCTAAGATATTTGCAATTGTTTAAGTTGCAAAATACAAGTTTTGCTGGCAAAACGTAAAAATTCACAAAAATCAATTTTTCTGATTTGCTATCATTACTAACATTTTAAATACAATGTTCTTATCGAAGCGAAATGTCATTAAACCGACCGTGAAGTTTGTAATATCACTTCATAAAATTAATTAATAAAAAAACTAACAGTTATTTTGCAATTTTACAAATAGCACGTCAGTGCTCAAAGATTAAACCGTTAAATGTTACGAAAAAATTATGGTACATACTTTAAAGCAGCTAGTTTCCGGTAGTTCGTGTGAAAAAACTTGAAAACTTGTTGTTTGTATGATAAGAATTAATCTGAAATATGTAGAAAGAGACTCAGTTTTCGTCAACAAATGTGTGTTATCAATTTTCGAAAAAAAACTTTTTTGCACAGCGTTATGGTTTGAGGTCTTAAGAAAGGCTGTGCAAAGTTTAAGATCATGATTTCCAGTTAAACAAATTTCAAACGCAATTTAGTAAAGACGTCTCACTCCGGGTGAAAAGATCAGCAGCAGCAGACAAAGTTTGGTGTAGGACCCGCTTGTGACTTCGTTTACGTTTGCACAATTATTTCTTCAAAATGCGTGATAAGGTGTATATTTTTTTATGCGGGGGTCTTACTAAGGAGTTACGTCATCCATTCGAACCTTTTTCTCATCAGGAATATATCTCTTGCCTCGAAATTTCTGCAAAAAAAGCTGAATGATCACTCTTGCCTATAAGAGCAATGTCAAATAATGGGACTTGAAAAATTTTTGGCGTACTTCAAGCATGCTAAAGTATAACATCAATTTTGTTCAGCAAGTGAATGAATTTCCTTAAATAGACCGAATCTCTTTAAGTGAGGAAATGTCTTATTGCAAAATAACTTAGTTGATGCTACAATTATACAAATGCCTATTAGTATCTGCAGTAAATTTTTCTGACTGCGCGCAAACACACTCAGATGCACACGTATATTATGCATGAGGCACCACCTTAGAGCATATATATACCTGGAGGCAGCATTCACTGTTAAGCCTGGGGAACAAAACGTGAGAGAGAGAGAGAGAGAGAGAGAGAGCGCACCATTGTCCGTAGATCCTTTCTCCCTCGCACACTTCTTCCAATTGGTTGTTGCTCTGCCATATATACAAATATATTAGAGCTATTGTAGGCAATGAAGGGCTCATCAGAGCGGGTGCAGAATAATACGTACCGGTACAGCAGTGATCCTACGTACTTGCTGCAGTAGGATGATCATAACATATGACGCATTAAAAAAAATTGACCACTTTTAATAAGCGTACAGTACATCATAAAAAGTATACAAGTAACAAATACACATTAAAAATTTTATGTAACCTTATGTAACCTTCGACAAGTTGTTAGAACAAAAGCTGTGAAAGGGGTCCATGATCATATGTTACTTTTGCACCGGTAATATCGTACGACGTTATAGCGCAGGTGAATAAGGTTTTGCTTTTGGATCTCTAAAATCTGATTTCAAATCCCTGTCACGCTCCTTTTTTTTCTTTTCAAACTATCTGTACAACACGCAGATTAATTACGTTTTACTGACGATATAATAATATTTACCAATTTTTTAAAATAAAATTTAAATTTTTGTTTAAATTTTAATCCGTTAGCGAATCAATTTTGCTACTTCTTTTATTTTTAAAATACGTAAATAACTTGTCTTTTTATTTTAATAAAGTGTACGTACACAACATGCAATAACAGTATAAAACCATCCATATAACCTTTTCAAAACGTCTATTGAATGAACACAACTGTAATGAAACTCACTTAATGTAAAATAAATTCAAAAAAGTAATATTGTTTAAAAGAGTGTTCAACTTCCCATTAGATTTGTCAAAGAGTGGACACCAACAAAGTGAGTAATTAAACTAAAATTCTTACTATTGTATTATTTTTTATTTATTCGACGTATCTATGTGTAGAAACTATTTTCTGGTACCTAACATTTTTTTACCAATGTTTCTGATTGTTTTACATGATAAAACGTATATTAAATTGGAAAGTGATTTTTCTTAACTGTCACAAAAAGGTTGCATTTAACAAAAAAATGCTTGATCACCGAGAAAGCTTTGTGGTGGACAAAAATTATATTTCAGGATAATACTCTAAAAATGTTTTGTGAAGTGTAGAATCGAATAAAATTATCCAACTCAGGAAAAATTTACATCTACTTCTGGGTACTCACGCGCATATTATGTGCGTGCGTGTGTGGATGTATGTATAATCAGTCACATTTTTGGAATCTCAGAATTTCTTCGACTGATTTCAATAAACCTGCTAATTTTTTTCGGATTTCGATTGCTGTTCCAAAAAAATTTTGGATCCTGTAAATAAATGTTTTTTTTTTGGAATTTTGAATTTATTCATAAATCGATTTTATGCAAAAATTTATATCAAAGCTTTTTTTTATTGGTGTAGGATATTTNCAAAAAAAAATCAAGCCTTTTGTCGTTATTTTTTTCTTGTTGCTGGTTTTATCAAATTTTTACTTTTAATATAATCA